GTTGTCCCGATGTCCTGTAGCGAGAGTGCCCTGCGCAGTAGGAGGAGGAGGGAGGGAGGAGGCGCAGCCGATAGCCGCAAAATCATGCGAATTGAAAGAGTGGGGAGAGGAGTCGGGCCTGTGTGTTCGCGCATAGTGGCCCGAGTCGCCAGCCTCTGCCTCAGCCTGGGGATGCTCTTCTGGCACGGCGCGGGGGGAACTGCTCACTATTGGGAGGCCTGTGCCAGGATGGGGGTTGTGCCCATGTCCTGCTGCGAAAGTGCCCTGCGCAGTACTGTGCGTCCGCGTGTACTGGCCCGAGTCGTCTGCCTCTGCTTCAGCCTGAGGATGCCCCTCTGGCACGGTGCGGGGGGAACTGCTCACTCTTGGGAGGCCTGCGCCAGGATGGGGGTTGTCCCCATGTCCTGTAGCGAGAGTGCCCTGCGCAGTAGGAGGAGGACGGGAGGAGGAGGCGCAGCCGATAGCCGCAATATCAGGTGAATTGAAAGAGTGGGGAAAGGAGTCGGGCCTGCGTGACCGCGTATAGTGGCCCGAGTCGTCTGCCTCTGCCTCATCCTGGGAATGCTCCTCTGGCACGGCGCGGGGGGAACTGCTCACTATTGGGAGGCCTGCGCCAGGATGGGGGTTGTGCCCATGTCCTGCTGCGACAGTGCCCTGCGCAGTACTGTGCGTCCGCGTATAGTGGCCCGAGTCGTCTGCCTCTGCCTCAGCCTGGGGACGCTCCTCTGGCACGGCGCGGGGGGAACTGCTCACTCTTGGGAGGCCTGTGCCAGGATGGGGGTCGTGCCCGTGTCCTGCTGCGAGAGTGCCTTGCGCAGTAGGGGGAGACCAGGAAACTTTGGCTTGCCTATTGTGACCGCTCCTGGGGGGACCAGTCGATGCGACACCCACACAGCGTGTCCTCCGACGTAGCGTTGACCACAGCCTCCGCCGACCCGCGGGAGGAGGAGCAGGAGGAGGAGGGGGAGGGGAGCCGCAGCCGATCATTGACAGGGGACGGAGGGCGAATAGGCGCGAAGAGGTTTCTCTCGACGAGCCGGCGTATGGTTTCGTTGTCCTGCGTCTGGGTGGCAGCTCCGTGGTCTCCCTGCTGTGTGCGTGCTCTCCCAAAGGACTGCTGGCGGGCTGATTGTCCTGAGGGGGATGTTCCGCGGCTTCCGCAGCCTCCGCCGCCTCCGCCGTGACGTCCCGCTCCTTTCCTCTGGCCTGTTGGCCCTGCTGGAGGGGGGGGTCGTTGGTGTGAGCTAAACACTGGTCACTGTGGGCTACCTCCTCTCGATTCCCCACTGGGACATCGTCGTCTGTCCACGATGCGGGGGGTGGTATCGTGCCCTCAGCCTCAACCGCCTCTCGATTCCCATCTGGGACGTCTTCGTCTGTCGACGACACGGGGAGTGGCACGCTGCCGCTGCTGCTGCCGCTGTGTTCCGAAGTGTCGTTGTGCGTGGCAGGATCCTCTGGCACAGTGCGGGGGGAACTGCTCACTATTGGGAGGCCTGTGCCAGGATGGGGGTTGTGTCCATGCCCTGCTGTGAGAATGCCCTGCGCAGTAGGAGGAGGAGGAGAGGAGGAGGCGCAGCCGATAGCCGCAAGATCAGGTAAAATGAAGGAGGAGAGGGAGGGGTCGGCGATGTGTGTGTGCTTGCATGGGGGAGGTCGAGTCATCTGGGTCGCGGTCGCGGTCGTCTTCGTAGCCGTCGTGGTCGTGGTCGTCGTCGACGTGGTTGCGAACGTGGACCTCGGCGAGGCCGAGCGAGTCCCAGTAGCCGACGGGCGCCTGCACACACAGCTCGCTCTCGAGGGCGCGCAGCGGCGAGTCCGTGTGGGTCACCCCGTCGCCCCAGGCGGAGCCCGTGCGGTTGTCCTGGAAGAACATCCCGATGATGGCCGTCCTGGTCAGGCGGCCTTCGGCCAGCTCCGCGTTCAGGGACCACTTGTTTTTCTCAGGGTCCTCGATGCCGTCCCCCTTGAACCCGCCAAGGGCCCCGAAGTACGACTTTCCGAAGCCCGCCTCGATTCTGCTGAGCTTGCCCAGAGGATCCGTTTGGCCCTGCCTGGCCGCGAGGAGCTCGAGGGAGCCGTAGAACAGGAACATTTGCCCCCAGTCGGCACCAGACACCTTGCCCGGAGCGCTCGGGCCTTTCGGAAGACTCGCAAGGGCGGGCCCCTCGAGGACGACACCTCCCGGCCACAGGAAGAAATCCTGCACGATGTACCCTATGGCGGCCCACATGGCGAGGCGGCCGTGCTTGACCGCGGTGCCCCTTCTCCTGTGGAGGACGTCCGCACCGACGTCCTTCGCAAGGCCGAGCGGGTCCCAGTAGCCGACGGGCGCCTGCAGGTCCCACTCGCTCTCGAAGGCGCGCAGCGGCGAATCCGTGTAGATCGCCCAGTCGCCCCGAGCGGAGCCCGTGAGGCCGCCCTGGAGGAACATCCCGATGATGGCCATCATGGCCAGGCGGCCGTTGGCCAGCTCCGCGTTCAGGGACCGCTTCATCTCGTCGTCGTGGTCGTGCTCGTGGTCGTGGTCGTGGTCGTCGTCGTCGTCGTCGAGGTGACGGCGTCCGTGGAGGTCGTCGTCGTCGGCGTCGGCGTCGTGGTGGTCGTGGTCGTCGTCGTCGGCGTCGTCGTCGAGGTGACGGCGCCTCCAGAAGGCCGCGGCGTCACCGTCCTTCGTGAAGCCAGCGGGGTCCCAGAAGTCCACTGACGCCTGCACGCCCAGCTCGCACTCGAAGGTGGGCGGCGGGGAGACCATGATCGGCGTCCGGGCGTCCCACGCGCAGCCCGAGAGGCCGTCCTGGCCGAACATCCCGTTGATCGCCATCATCGCCAGCCTTCCGTTCGCGGTCTCGGAGTTCAGCTCGCCGCCGTACGCGCAGTCGCCAGGAGCCGCCGCCACCGCGCCAGCGGCCTCGCCGCGGACGGCCGCGGGGGCGGCGGCCGCGGCGGGGCAGGCCGCGGCGGGGCCAGCGGCCGCGGCCGCCGCGTCAAGCCCGAGGGCGGCAGCGCGTGCCACGGCGGCATCGGACCCGCGGGGTCGTCGCCGCGGCCAGGCCGCCGCCAGGGCCGTGGCGACCGCGGCGGCGGCGGCGGCCGCGGCGGCGGCGCCGCCGGCCCACGCGGGCAGCCAGGGGCCGCGGCAGCCCGCGGCGGACCAGCCCCGGGGGCGGCGCCGCGTGGCGGCAGGCGGCCGCGCGCCGCTGGCGGCGGCGGCGGGCAGCGGGCGACTCCGCCGGGGGCATGGCCCGGCGGGCGGGGGGGGAGAGGGAGGGACGACCTCCGTCCCCACCCCAGCAGGCGGGGAGGCCGGAGGCCAGGGGCGGGCCCCCGGCCGCGGCCGCGCAGGCTGGCTTGGCCACCTCGAGCCAGAGCGGCCTTGAGCCAGACTACCTTCCCCTCCAGAATACGCGGAACGTCGGGAATCCCACCAGCCCTCTGGGCCGTATGAGGCCGTCAAGCGGGTTCTGTCGACCCTCTGCCACAAAAACTCTTCCCTCCCGGGAGATTGACCTCCACCCTCCCTGAGGAGCAACGATAGGGGGGGACTGGCATAGGGGGGACACATCGACCTGGAATCGGCGATACATCGCCGATAGATCGGCGATAGGCCCCCGATAGTGAATCCGCACTGTCCTGGGCGGGGTGGAGCTATCGGGTTCCTTATTATCGGCGATCATCACTGGGCGATTGGGGGTCGATGCGTCCCCCCCTATGCTCATCCCCCCCTATGGTTGCCCCTAACTGCGAGGCGGGGGTTTGTCCATAATTATCCACCGCCTGGGAAACAACGTCCTGGTGCCCCAGCGGGCGGTGGATGTGGATTTTGTTTGGCCCCCGGAGGCCTGAATATATCCATATCCACCGCCTGCGAGGTCCCCGAAAATTGATCCTCCAGGCGGTGGTCATGCATCAATTTCCGCCTCGGACTGACTCTGGACTGCCCCCCCAACACTGCGGGCCTCCATCCCGTACGGTGGGGCCACGCGCTAACGGAAACGGAGCCGGATGCCCGGAGAGAGCGGAACCCGGGATCGGTCGGCGCACGGTCCCGGCCACGGCGTGCCACGCGCTGGCAAGATTCCGGCGACGACGACGAGGACACGAGAACAGACGAGGGACGAGCGCCGAGGCGACAGGGGAGGAGGGCACCTGTGCAATCGCGCTGCCCCCCCCCTCTGCTTCGCTGCGGGCGGCCTTCGTGCTGCCCTTACACGACCCTGGTAATTAGTGATAATTACTCCTACTCTTAAGTCGGGCCTGTCCCCCTACAGGGGAATTGTGCACGGACATTTAAACATTATGCTTTACAAAATAACATCAAAAATGCCCCAAAAATACTAGAAAATAAATTCGTGCCCAAACTATTTTTTATTATTTTTGAATATTCCTCCTGTAGAGGGACAGGCCCGATTTTCTGCTACTCCCCAGACCTCTCCCGGGCGGCGCTCTGACTAGGGCGTCGAAGCGAACCCAGCGGCGGAGACGAGGGGCTCCCAGGAGGCCTGGAGAAGGCGAAAGGGAAGGGAAGAGGCAGAAGTACCTTTCCCTCCTCGCCCGCTCGGTGGCAACTCATGGGGGACGTGCATACCCATCTCCTCGACCCTTGCGACACGACGCCAATCGACGCTAGATCGACGCCAAGCGACGCTAACTATAAATGCTAATCGACGCCAGCCGACGCTAAATCGGCGCTGTCTCACGAAGGTACACAAGGCTCCCATGATTCGCTACCGAACGCCCGTTCTCATGTCGCATCCTCGGGGAACCTTGTCTGTCCCGTCGCGGTCCTATCCGCGTCGAATCCGTGTCGAATCCATGTCAGCCTCGTCGGATCCGTGTCGAATCAATGCCGCATCCGCGTCGAATCCAGGGCAAATCCGCGTCGAGTCCGCATCGAGCCCGCGTCGGGCACAAGAAAAGACACAAATTTGGGGGACAGGCGCAGTCCCCCGAAGATGCAACGTAACCGATCCCGGCCCCCGCGGGTCTCCAGTGTTCTCCTGTCGAACACGCTGCCGAGCAGCTCCGCGTGGTGCCGGGCGTCCTCCCGTGTTGGTGCGGGCGGGCGCCCCCCCTTTGCCGCGGCCGTTTTCTCTGTTGCTGGCGGCCGCGGTGGGCGGAGGAAGGACGCCGCAGTCCAAAAAGGGCTCGATCCCGTCCGCGCGGCATGCGCACCTTTTTCCAAGATTGGTCCTTAGATAGATGTCCTCCAAGATGTCCCCAAGATGACCCCCTAGCCTCCCAAAGGTGCCATAAGGCGGCCCCAAGAGGCCCCCGGATAGCCTTAGAAGGCCCCCGAGAGGTCCCCAAGATGACCCCAACAGTCTCTCAAGAGACTCCCAAGAGGCCCCACGAGGCCCACCAAGAGACACCCAAGACGCCTCAAGGGGATCTGAGACCGGTTGCGCACCTACCTCGACACGAAATGAGTTCCGGAGCTGAAACGACACAGGGGTGCCCTCGACCAGGGCCGCGGCCTCCTTGCGACGCGGCGCGCCCAGAACGGCGAGCTACGCACCCAACGTCCCCGACGCCCGCGCAAAAACGAGATAATCTGCGACCGCTTGCGAACCCTACAGCAGGAGCTCGCCCACAAAAGGACGGCCCGACGCGAGCATGGGAGGCGATACCGCGCGAGGACATCGAAGTCAAAATAATGGGATATCCCCCCGAAGTGACGAGTGTTTTTTGGCATTGCAATTTACATGTGATTTTAGCCCATCCTACAACATATCTCGCACCACACCAGGCAGGCCAGTCTCGCCCCCCTCATTCCCTGCAAGAGAACTATGCGTGTACACTCGTTCATCAAAGCGCATGTTCAATAACCCTCTGCAACAAATAAGACGCAGTGCACACGCGCGCGTCGTGCGATCGCATCACAAAATCCTTCCGATGCAATTGGTACGGCAAGGGTTTCGAAACCGAGTGCCCCGAAAACGAAGTAAAAACATATGGCATTGCAGCATTGCTTCTGTCTCTTTCAATATGAACCTCGCAATCGCGCTCATGTGAACACACATGTATATATATACATACATACATACATACATACATATACATACATATTACATACATCATATATGTAATTAATATAAATATATATATATATAATCTATTATATCATATTATATATTCGTTTAATCATAAATCTAGACATGTTACGTCAAGCGCATGAGCAAATCGTTCGGACTTCCTTTGCGCGCATGCTGTCGCTAAAACCCCCTGCAAAAAAAAACGCATGCACGCGCGCGCCGACATCATTCAAAAACTGGCAAGTTGCGTCGTCATTTCAAAGTCGAGTATACCGAGTATTGATCATACGAAGGAACAGGGCAACATGGATTTGCAACGCAAGTTTTTGCATAACAAGACGACACATGCATCCGCGGTGTTGTGAATGCATACGAACACCGGCAATTGTTCAACATGATCCATAAAGTTATGATAGACGGACCCCTCGCATCGCATGCCGAAATCATTCGAACGCCCTTACGCGCGTGCTGGGTGGGGGAAAGATCTGGGGCAGATAAGCGCCACGCAGGCAACTCTCGCGCGTCGGCCGCGCGCGCATGTCGAGCTCTTTCCAAAACCTTCATCGCCGACGAGAAGACGCTGTCATCGTCGTCGGCGCGTTCAGCATCGGCGCCGTCATTGGCCTTGCCGTCGTCGCTGTCCTCATCGTCGCCGGCGTCGCCATTTATCTTCCGCGCGTCTACCGCCGTCAACGTCGCCGCGATACCGCGCCCGCCCAACTCCCCGACTCGCGCTGAAGTGCCCGCTGGGGAAAGCCCGCAGAGCGCCGCCACGACCGCGCCGGTCGCGCCAAAGGAGCTGGCCGCTGCGAGCGCGAGCACGCGCGGGCTAGCGCAGCCGCGGAGATTCACCAGCCAGCCGCAATCGCCGCCGCACGGGCTTACGCAAACCAACTTGCGGGCGGGTGGGGGCCAACTGCGCGAGCAGTGGAGTCGGCAACTCACTGCGAACGAACAGAAAAGCTAGCTCCTTTCTAAAATAAATGTCAGACCCCACCCGACTTAACCGCGCCCCTGTTCACGCTGCAACTGGCGCGTGACCCTGCCCCGTCGCCCACCCAGGCATGAACTCGCACCGCCCCGGGCAGGTCGGCAACGCCCTCCCCCCGGGCCCCCCCCCATCCTGCGCCGCAAACGCCCGCGCTCGTTTATCCAAAATGATAATCTTTCAAGAAACCCCGCTAAAGATGACACCAAACGCACGCGCAACCCCCCGGATCAATGGGTTCCGCCAGGATTTCGAAATCGCGGCTCCCGAAAATATAATAAGAATGGTTTCGCAAGCAGAACTGTCAACGAACAAACTGCGCCCGCGCTCTCGCAGAGTCTGCGAGTAAAAAACGAGAGAGGTAGAGAGAGAGAGAGGAAAACAAATGATATATATATATATATAGAGAGAGAGAGATGAGAGAAAAAAAAAAAAAAAAAAAAAAAAAAAAAAAAAAAAAAGGTGCTCACGCAATGCCACCGGGCCTCTCGCGCGCGCGCGTCGAAATCGCCCGAGCGCCCCCGCGCGCGCGCGCTGTCGCAATAATTCCTTGCCGCAGAAAAACGAAGCGCGCGCGGAAATCACTCAGAAACCGAGCAGGCCCAGTCAGGATTTTAAAGTCGAGCACGCCGAAATCACTAGAAAAACGGGGTTGCGCAACGCCAGCTGGGGAGAGGCAAGAAAAACAGGAATACCCCCCAAGGAAAAATAAACAGGAACGCGCGCCGCATGTCGACATCATTCGAGCGCCCTCGCGCGCGTGCCGGGGGGGGGTCCGCGTCGCGCGCGTCCGCGCGGGCCGCTCTCGCCTCGCGCGTCGGCCGCGCGCGCGCGTCGAACGCCTTCTAGAACCTTCGCCGCCGACGCGAGGGCGCCGCCACTCGCGTCGGCGCGATCAACGTCGGCGCCGTCACCGGCCGCGCCCGTCGCCGCAATCGTCGTCGTCGACGGCGCCGCCGCTATCATCCGCGCGTCTACCGCCGTCGACGTCGCCAAAATACCGCGCCCGCCCAAGTCCCCGACTCGCACTGAAGTGCCCGCTGGGAATTGCTAAAAAAACAGCCCGTTGGGAGCCTCCTGGGGGCCTCTTGGGGACCTCTTGGGGCCTCTTGGGGGCCTCTTGGGACCTCCTGGGGAACTCTTGGAGCCTCCTGGGAGCCTCTGGTGCCGAAAGCTCGGAATTTGAATATGGTTTTGCACCTCTGGCACCCCTTCTGGGGCTCGCCCTGTGGCTCACTTGGGCTGCCTTGGGGGCTCGGGCCGTCTTGGGACCCTCTTGGGGTCGTCTTGGAGCACTCTTGGGAGCCTGTGGGGCAGTCTCGGGGGCCTCTTGGACCGTCTTGGACGCTGTGACAGCACAAGAAGTATATATGCGAACAATCTAGTTTCCCCGAAGGGAAATGGAGCGAATTTTGCCTCTTGGGCCCCCCTGGGGGGGCGTCCGGGAGCGTCACAGGAGGCGTCTGGGAGGCCTCTTGGGGTGTCTAGGGGGGCGTCTTGTGCATGTCGGAGCGGCCTGTGTGTCTTGGAGCGGCCTGTGGGCGTCGCGGGTCCCTCTTGGCGCATCTTCGGGCTCTCTTGGCGCTTTCTGGTGGCGTTTTGACGGCCTCTGGGGCCCGCAAGGGCCTGCACACGCACACACAAACAAACAAACACACAAACACACACACACACACACACACAGAGATACACACACACACACACACACGCATACACACACGCACACACACGCACACACACACACACACACACGCACACGCACACGCACACGCACACGCACACGCACACGCACACGCACACGCACACGCACACGCGCACGCGCACGCACACGCACACGCACACGCACACGCACACGCACACGCACACGCACACGCACACGCACGCACGCACGCACGCACGCACGCACGCACGCACACACACACACACACACACACACGCAAACACACAAACACACACACAAACACACACACACACACACACGAGCACGCACGCACGCACGCACGCACGCACGCACGCACGCACGCACGCACGCACGCACACACACACACACACACACACACACACACACACACACCGCGCACGCACACACACACACACACACACACACACACACACACACACACACGCGCGCGCGCGCACACACATTTGTGGTAGAGGTCGCGGCCCCGGGGGCCTGGGCCCCGGTCCCCTGTTATATGCAAATATACACGCATCCTGAAGGGCGGCGCCCTGTGCTCGAAGCATCACCCCGCGGTGAACAGGCGGTATCGACGCGCTGGATGGATGGAGGGGGTTCTGAATTGCCAGCTTCGGGTTAGCGAGGGAGGGCGAGACGGAACAACGGCGGTAAGGCGAGGAGGAGACGAGAAGAGAAGGGATAAGAGGGGGAGAGGGATGAAACCCGGCGGGAGGGGATCCAAATATCTGGCGTCATGATATTCCCTGGTATGTACCCCCCGACACCTCGATCCCTTTCCAGAGACAGGGTGTCCAAACAAGGTCGCATCATCAGTAGCTCAATCGTGTGACTTGCTCCGTGGCGCTGGATGCATCAGTCGGCCTACCCGCTGATGCTCTACATCAGCGCCCAGACCCCTCGAGGACGCCATCCAGCTAAATTGTTCAGGCTGCGTCCAACGTGGCCACGCAGAGGCACCAAGAGGCCACACATTACGTAGGAGGAGAAGAGACACAATGGAGAACACAAACACCGAACGGCAGGAACATCGAAAGGGGGTGCCTGGGGGGCTTCCTGGGGGAGGGGGGGGCGGGGGGCGCTCCTGGGCCGTTTGGGGGGCCGTGGAGGCATCGGGGGGTCCGTCCGAGCGGAGGGCGGGGGTCGACGGGGGGGGGCCGGGAAGTGATAGTGGTCGTCGCGAGGGGGGGGCAGTCTTCTGGATTCGGCATAGGAGGCTCCTTGACGGCCACAACCTTCTGGTAGGTCTCTGGAGCCAGCCAGCCTGCCACCCACCCACAGCCCCTCCCCTCCCAGCCCAGCCGCGTCCTCCTCCTCCTCCCTCCTCCTCCTCCTAGCTCCTCCTCCCTCTTCTCCTCCTCCTCCCCCTCCTCCTCCTCCTCTCCTTTCCCCTCGTCCTCCTCAACTTCCCTCTGCCTTCCCCCTCCTCCTCCTCCTCCTCCTCCTCTCCTCCCTCCTCCTCCTCCTCTCCTCCTCCCCTCCTCTCCTCCTCCTCCTCCTCCTCCTCCTCCTCCTCCTCCTCCTCCTCCTCCTCCTCCTCCTCCTCCTCCTCCTCCTCCCTCCTCCTCCTCCTCCTCCTCCTCCTCCTCCTCCTCCTCCTCCTCCTCCTGGTCCTCCTCCTCCTCCTCCTCCTCCTCCTCCTCCTCTTCCTCATCCTGGTCCTCCTCCCCCCCTCTCCTCATCATCCTTGACATACTCCTACCCCTTCTTGCTCTTGTGCAGGGAGAAGTGAAGTCATTAGGCTTTCGACGACAAGGGAATGCAGCTAGCTGTCGCAGCCTCCGGCCGACCCCGTGTGCGCAGGACACACGTGGTGCAGATTAGCTGAAGCGTTATATGATATCTTAGGTCTTAGCTGGACGAAGGTGTGCGCGTGCGCCCATAACCATTCATAGCGATTGCCAGTCGATCTGAGTTGGAGCTGTTTGGGGTGAACGGCGTCGGGAGACGTCCCGCACCCACAAAGACTTGCGCACCAACACGTATGGAACACGTATGGTCCTTGGGGGATTACGCTGAAAACAGTGAAGCCTATGCGACGCAAGCTGAATGGCACACCATGGGCGAGAGACGGCGGCAAGGAACGACTCTGCTAACAGTGGAACAGTGGGGTGTAGATGGCATCCGACCTGCGGCAGCACGCATGTGAGCAGAAGCATGATTGGGGGACAGGGCCCTCTCCTGGGAGAGGACGGGGAGCGGAGAGGAGTAGGACGGAGGATTAGAAGGAGACGAAGGAAGAGAAAGAGAAGGGGGTACAGAGGGGGGAAGAGGGGAGAGGAAGAAGAGGGGAAAGGAAGAGGAAGGAGGGTGGAGGAGGGGAGAGGACGTGAGGAGGACAAACGCAGAAGAGGAGGGAGGGGAAGAAGGGACAGGAAGGAACAGCGAGAGGAGATACGAAGAGCTAGAAGTATACTGAGGAGGACGAACAAGGGAAAATGGGAGAAAAGGCGGGCAGGGAGGAGGACAAGGAGGACGAGGAGGAGGGAGGGGCGGATGGGAGTAGCGATGAAAAGGAGCGATAAGAAGGAATAGCAAGACGTCGAGGAGGATGAGGTGTTCAGAGACGGTGGTGTAGAGTAGAGAATGGACGTGGGCGAAGGCCTGATGGAATGACGCATGCCTCCCCTCTGGTCCCTCCTCACCCCCCTCCACTGCCCCCTCAAATGCATTGAAATCCCTCCTCTGTCCTACCTCATCCTCCTGTTCGTCCTCATTATTCTGCCTCACCCTTCAAATCCACTTCGCGTTTCCCCATCGTCCTCCTTCTCCTCCTCCTCCTCCTTCTCCTCCTCTTCTTCCCCCTCATCCGCCTTGTCCCCTCCTTCCCCCCCCCGATTCCTGCCCTGCCTCCCCCCTGCTCCTGCCGATCCCTGCTCCCCCTTCACAAGAAGCCCACCAGCCCTCTGCGCGCAGGTGGCGCATCAACTTCGTCATTCCAACCCCCCTTTCTTCGGGGGCGCGCAGACATGGATTAGCGATCCATGGATTTGGCGCCCTCCCCAAAATACGGCCGGCGGCGCCTCGCTCGGCGGCGGGAATCCGCGATTTCCCATGGAAACGGGACCCGTCGCTAATCCACGCCCCCTTGATCCATGTTTGCGATCGCCTGACTTTCTGCCCCTTCGGGTAGGGGCTTACCCCACCCGTCCCCCTACCCCCTACCCTGGGTCTGCACGACCCGCCCCGCGACGCGTTAGACCATCCCCGCCCCTTCAGCCCACCTCTCTGACAGTCCTTCCCCCACACCCACCCCTTCCCTCTCCTGGTCCACATCCCCTCCCAACTATCCTCCTGAGTTCTCTGGGAGGTCCCCGCGAAACTTCCAGAGATCTGCAAGTTCACCCATGTTGCCGCCCTGTCTCACTGTATGATTATCAGAGGATCATCTCGTGAACCATCACCACATGTCTTCCTTCAGACCTCTCGCGGTCGTCGTCGTTCTATTCCCCCAATCCTCATCATCAATATCATCAGCGTACTCGTCATCCTCATCATCATCCTACATGCTGTCTCGTCTGCCTTCAGTTCGTCCTGCTCCTATTCATGTTCAGTCCCCTGCTCTTTTCTTGTATAGCTTACAGGGCATTGAGTTGAGCGTTTTCTATCGAACTCGTATCGCTGCTGCTGCTCCTCCACCACCTTCTCCTCCTCCTCCCCCTCCCCATCCTCATCATCCCTCTCATGCTCCCTCCTCCCAACCTCCCTCCTCCTCATTGGAATTCGAAGAAGTCGCGAACACGCACGCGGGCCCCCCTCCGTCTTTGTTCCCCCGCACACCGCTACGCTTCCCTGATCAATACAACTCGCAAAAGTATCTGGGGAAACCAGAAGGTACCGATACCGCTACTCCCAGGGGTGCGCTATGGCCAGAACTTCGAGGCGTATCAAGCGGTGGCGGCGAGGGCCTCCCAGGAGGCCCGAAAAGGGAAAAGCGGGCGACGGGTAGCGGTGTGGGTACCTTCTTCTCGGACGTCCATCCCCCGTGCGTTTGTCGGTGTCGTGCGTGTGTGTTTTGGTTTGCGAGATGATCCAGGATGCTCCTCGATGGGCCTCGCCGAGAAGCAATGCACACGTCCGAGCGATGCCAAGGCAGCTCGCTCGGGGATCGCTGCTGGATGGGCCAGGCGGGGGTGGGCAAAGGGCCGACACATCTCGAGGCGGGCCCGCCGCGGCGAGGAGGGCGGCCACCCCCCGCTCGAAGGCGCAGAAGAGGGGAGGAGGAGGAGGAAGAATAGCCTCGCCCTGCTCCTCCTGTTCTGAGGGGAACAAAGGTACACGTACTGCTACCGTCCCTTCATGTTCGCTTATTTGGGCCTCCTCGAAGGCCCCTGTCGCCACCGCAGGATTCGCCTCGAAACTCTGGTCGGAACGCACCCGTGGAGAGGTCCGGGGAGTAGCGGTATCGGTGACGTTTGGTCTCCCCATGTTCATCCTCCTCCACCCGATCCTCATCTTCTCAGCATCATCAGCATCATCAACATCATCCCACTCCTCCCCCCTCCTCCTCCTGCTGCTCCTCCTCCTCCGCCTTACCCTCCTGCTGCACCTCCTCATCCTCCTCCTCGCCTCCTGTCCCGCGAGGGGGGGGGAGGAGGCTTAGCTCCCTAAGCACTGTTCAGTGCTTTCCACAGCGCCGACACTTTCATCGGCGGGTGCAGCAAGAAGGCGTCGCCCAACCGCTCTGGGTAGTGGTCCTGCCAAAGCGACAACGACTACACACGTCGTCATCGCCCACAGTGCGCCCAAGAGTGCGGTCAGGCAGCACCACTGCCTCAGTAGTAGGACGGAGGGGGGTTCAAGCCCTCGCTGGCACAGACTTGGAGAACCGAAACATGCGTATTCAGGGGCGTACCAGATCCACCCCATGCCCACGGAAGCCCCCGAAGGTGGAGACAGTGGCGCAGTTGGCAGCACCCAAGGAGGGTGAGGTTCCGTTTGATTCTGCGTAGCGCCGCACTCCGCTGGACTTCCCAGTAGCTCATCAAAGTGAAGGCAGCTGAGCAGGTGGCAGCGCACAGAGACAGGAGAGGGAATAGTCTAGCTTGGTCCGCGGCATTGGTTACCCCCCCAGGACCTCACAAAAATGGCGACGGATGCGCAGCTCGGAACAACGAAGGAGAGAGAGATCACGTGTGGATACGCGTCGCACCACACTCCGCTGGACCTCCTAGCTCGCAACAGTGAGGAGAAGATGCGCAGGTGGCATCACTCAATGACGCGAAGTCTCGCTTCGATCAGGGTCGCACAGCACTCCACTGGACCATACTGACTGCCTACCAGACCACCCCAACCCAACCCGAAGACCAGAATTTCAGGTTTGGAGGGTACGGGTTCCATGTCTTTTTCAATGTTCCCAGACGCCCCCCCCCCACTGGAAATGGAGGGCAAATCGGGGCCTTCAGGTTGGGTTGGGGTGGTTTGGTGGGCGGTGACAGAATGACCAGCAGGAACGCAAACAACGGCGACAAATGCAGAGCTCGCAACACCCGAGGACGGCGGAGTCTCGTCTGCATCTGCGCCGCACCGCACTCTCCGCTGGCCCCCCCCGGGAGGTCAAACAAGTGGCGACGGTGGCGCAGGCGCAGCTCGTGGCACCCAACGAGGCCAAGGTCTTGCTTGGATCCGCATCGCATCGCACTCCGCTGGCAGGAGCTCGCAGAAACCAGAGCTGAACCTCAAGGGTGTTCTTCGTGTTCGTGTTGCTTTTCTGTCTTGCTTGCTTTGCCTTCGCTTTGCCTTGAATGCAAAACAAAACAAAAAACAAAACGGCCCACGAGATGACCAAAACACCATTTAGGTCCAGCCCTGACAGACACGGCGACGGTTGCGGAGCTCGCAGCACCCAAGGAGGGCGAGGTCTCGTTTGGGATTGCGCCGCCCCAGCCCTCTGCTGGACCCCCGAGGAGCTGACCGAAGTGGCGGCGCTGCCCAGTTTGGTGCACCCATGAAGGATGAGGCTGGAATCGACCTAACAAATGCTTTTCGTGTTCGTTTTGTTTTCGCGTTCCCCCGTTTTGTCGTCGCTCCGCCTTCGCGGCAAAACGAAATCAAAACGAAAACGGCCTACGATATCGCCAAATACCGTTTAAGTCGACCCCTGGTTGGGTGCATCCATGCAAGACGAGGTCTCGCTTGGATCTGCGTAGCACCGCACTCTTCTGGATCACGCCAGAATTCACAAAAGCGGCATCAACTGCGCAGCTGGCAGCACCCAGGGACGCAAGGAGGATGCAATGAGGAGGCGAGCAGGACGTGAGGAGGCGGGAAGAGGAGGAGGAAGAGGGGAAGAACGGAGCAACAGAGACCTATCCACAACGAGCACCCAACAGGGCTGGAAATAAAGAAAGCGAGGATTCGGCGATGCGAAGAAAGATAATGCGGAAAGAGGAAGAACAACAGGAGGCGCTCTATTCAAAACGGGTGCCTTCCCTCCTTCTTGCACCACTCCCCCTTTGCGCGGTCCTGCAAAATGCTCACCGCCTCGCGGATGGTGTGGATGGCGGGACGGTTCCTACGGCATCGGCGGCGCGGCGCGGCCTTCTCATCACCATGTTCATTACCGTCATCACCATCAGCATCATCATCGAAGCAATACTCGTAATTATCGTCGTCGCCACCGTCGCCGTCGTCATCATCGTCATCATCATGATCATCATCATCATCATCATCAGCATCATCATCATCATCATTATCATCATCCTCATCCTCATCCTCATCCTGATCCTCATCATCATCATCATCATCAGCAGCATCAGCATCATCATCACAAACACCACCATCATCATCACCATCACCATCACCATCACCATCACCATCACCACCATCATCATCATCATCATCATCATCATCATCATCATCATCATCATCGTCATTATGACCACCATCATCATCATCATCATCACCATCATCATCACCTTCATCATCAACATCGCCGTCGTCATCACCATCCTCATCATCACTACCACAGCCACCACAACAACATCACCACCATCATCACCGTCGCCATAACCATCGTCGACAACATGATCGTCATCGCCATCACCATCAACAGTTACATCACCGCATCACTGCCCTCATCATCTTCACCGCAATCATCATCACCACCACTACCACCACCACCACAATCATCATCATCATTAACATCATCATCAACATCATCTTCATCATCATCGTCATCACCATCGTCATCATCATATCATCATCGTCTTATCACCATGATCATCCGTAATTTCTGGAGGGTCTGGCGGCCAATCTGAGCGTAAATTATATGTTGTCCTAATTGCGTTTCGCTAGGGGGCTTTAATAGAGGTGAAGAAGGAACGCAGCAGAGTCCCACAGGGGGGGCCGGTGAGCCCTAGACCGACCAAAGCGGCACGGTCCGCCGGCGATTTCGCCTGAGACTTCATCACAAGTTACTCCAGAATCGCTCTCTCGCCTCAGTGCTGAGCACATTTTTAGTTCTGACGGCCGCAATCCATTGCAAAAAACGCACTAGGGTAAACATGGCCTCACGACTTCTTCAGGAATCGTGCTCACGCCTCAATGCCAGCTACACTTTTCTCTAACAGCGTTTCACTAAGGAGGGCTCGAGCGGGGGGAAAAAAAGACCTCAGAATAATCGCGCAGGGGGGAAGGGGAGCCCTAGACCGCCCAGTCCAGCAGACGCTTCGCCTGAGACCTCCTCCCGATTCACTCAAGAAAGGTGCTCTCGCCTAAATGCCGACGACGTTCTTGGTCCGGGGCCGCCCTACATCTGGGTCAGCACGCGCGACGCGGCCCGGCTCTTGCTCCCGAGGCATTGTTCCTTGGCCGAGCTCTGGAGGCGATGCCGTCCGCACCGTCGCTGCTTCTCAGCCCTCCTCCTCCCCCCTTGACAGGACTGGAAATTACCACATAACGCGCGAATCGTACAGGCGACCATGCACCGAATCCGACTTGGCAATAGAAAGAAGAGACGAATTGCAAAAAAGAATCACCGCCTGCAGTCAGCGCCAACCGTGCCCTTCGAAAAAAAAGGGATCCAAAGGATTGTAGAAAGAACATATTCCTCTGGAGGTCTCCCAGATGGGGTCTGAGTAGATGGGGTCCGAAGATCGCGCCGCATCGCCGATGCATCGCCGATGCATCGGCGACGCCGCCGGTGCATCGGCAACGCCGGCGTGAAACACAAGGTCGGGCTCCACATCAAACCGCATCGCCGATGCATCGGCGATGCGGCGCGACCCTCTGACCCCATCTGCCCCGACCCCATCGGGGAGGCCTAGATCCTCATCCTCCTCCTGCTCGTCCTCCTCTGCCTACCACGGCTTTCGGGGTCCTACGACTGTGCGGTGGCAGGCCGTGCGGTGACCCCGAGATGCCCCGTGAAGACCTCGCAGCACGGCCCGTCGCCGCACGGTCCTGGTGCACTGGGAGAGGCGCCAAGCCACCCGGGCGAGAGGGTGGATGAACCTGGCGTTTGTTGTGTCCTTGCGCGACACATAACCGTTATACATACATATACGTATACATATACATAAACATATACATATACATATACACATACAAATACATATACATATACATATACATATACATATACATATACATATACCTATACCTATACCTATACCTATACCTATACATATACATATACATATACATATACATATACATATACATACACATACACATACACATACACATACACATATGCATAAACATATACATATACATATACATATACATATACATATACATACACATATACACATACACATACATATACATATACATATACATATACATATACATATACATATATATACACATATACATACACATACATACATACATACATACATACATACATACATACATACATACATAAGTACATACATACATCTAGTCTTCTCACCCCCTTTCGCGCAGTTCAGCGATGCACGGTGCAGACGCATGCTCGGGGCCTCGTGCGCACAGACACGGCACGGTATTACACACTAGACGCTCACATTGCGAGGGCCACCTGCGTGCTCCGCCTCCACACGCACCGGAGAACCTCCAATTGGGCCCCCAACGGCATCCACTCCCAGGGCCCCAGCCCGCACAGAGCCAGCTCACAAGGGTGACGCCCACAATGATGGAACGCATGCGGGGCCCACGGCCCACACATTCCCACGAGGGGCAGGCCATTTTCCAAACACCTTCGGCGACAGGGAACGGGATAGGGCGACAGCCCTTGATTCAATTCCAATAAACACGCACCTACCTCACATTTCAGTAACAGACATCCATTCATTCAGACCTGTACGCGTTCACCCAATCATAACAGCAGAAGTCTCCACCAGAGGTAGCGCAGACTCAAGAACCACACGCCGCATGTGTGGATCGTCTCACGCATGACATCACAACCGGCATACATTACCAATTCACTCGGAAGATACCGACCATATCAAGGCCAATACTCAAATAAGTCATCCAGTCCCAAGTCGCGCATATCGTGATTCTGCAACTCGGGCGCAATACTCTCGTCGTGTTCACCGCCGCCACTCATCACTTGTCCTTGCTCTTGCCCCCCGTGCATGGCTTCGCCGCTAAGCCCCCTCTCGGGGCGTTGCCTGGCTCGAAGGCGAAGCCCATCGCGCACAAGATGGAACACAATGTGGCGCGGACTTCCATCTCTTTGCACCCGTGTTCCAGCGTCAGGCTCTCGAGAGGTGTCCGCTGTATCTGCGCGAGCGCCTCGATCGCCTTTTCCTCCGACTCCTTTTTTGTTGACCGCGCCCCACAGCTCTTGTTGATGCCGTGCCGTTGCCCCTGCCAACTCGGGGCTGCGTGGAATGATCTATTGGCCCTGCACGTTGACGGTCGCGCGGTAGAGGTCACTCTCGTGCGTCGGCGACACCGAGCAGCCCTTGATCCACAGCCCTGCGGCCCCCATGCCGTTGCTGCGCAGCTGCGGGAGGAACAGAGACGGCACGCGGCACGAGTTGATCACCGACTTCTGCTGCGAGGACTCCGCGGCGCACCAACTGTCGAAAACGCTCAGAATCCCCCAAGACCGATGCTGTTCTGGAGGCCCCCCCGTTAATGCGTGTTGCCCTCCGCCTTGACCATTTCCAAATGCTCTTGACACAATTGAACGCCCGTCTGGATTACTCCCTCTGACTTGTCTCCGTATACCACCAACTGAGAGGCGCGCTCCAGGGTTCTCACTCGAGCCTCGGGCTGCTTGACGAGTTTCATCCTTACAAGACCGTTCTCCTCCCCTGGGCGTCTTTTCATGTTGCGAACGTTCTGCAGGCCCGTCGCCGCGCCCCCATCCTCCCTGCGTTTCCCGACCGACGGGGCGAGCCACATGAGGCACAATATGTACAACCCGGTGGATTCTGAACTCAGACTGCAAATGGGCATTTGAGAATATGGCTACGGAGCGCATCGACGCCACCAGCCTCGTACTCGCAAATTGGGCACTGCCTCGTGTACAGCGCAACCGCGCCATCGTTCCGACTGCGCCCAGCTCGACATTCCCTGTCGTCGATGCTCTTTGCTGCACGATACATGGTGCTGCGTTTAGTCGCGAACGCCGATGTATAAAACAAACACTGACTGGCAACGAAATACAATCGCCCAAGCGAACCCCGACCGTGCGCGCTCCCTTTTATTCTTGCGCAGCGGACTGCAAGCCGCTGGCGAGTAGGAACGCCCGCTCCGCACCCCACCCGCCCACCCCTCCGTCAGGACCAAGAGCCGCGCGCCGATATGGGCCCTCGACCCTGCAGCTTAGCCTGCCGGACATACCTCTCGATGCGCGGCCCAAAATGAGATTGCAGCCCTTGCGCGTCTAGATGAAGAAAGTCCCCCGCCTCCTGCGTGACCATATCAACGGGGTGCTCACGTCTTTCCAACTTCATCACCGAAAACCTGCAACGCCTGAATATCCGTCAGCAGCTGCTCAGCCCACGGATTGACTGGGGAGCCTCTCATGGCCCGAGACAGCGCAGTCTCGTTGCCCGCGAACTTCCCAAAGACAACCCCCAAGAACCGCGAGGACCGAGGTTCCTTCAGACACTGCTGGGGCCACTTGAACCCACGCACCCGCAGCCCCACATGCGCGGGGACTAAACTGACAGCGCACAACACCCTAATATTACAATCCGCGCCCCATTTGTCCCACGACTTCCGCGCGCGCGGGTAGCGTTCGAAAGAATAACTTCGCCAGCAGTACAAACCAACACAATCGCGCGCTTCCCCACCCACCCCCAGCTCCCCGTTGGCTTCAGCAAGTCGAACTGCCTCGCTGACAAACCACTGCATCGACAAAGCTCGTGATCGTCACATTCCAAAGCTCAGGGAACGCAGCGCATAAATGAAGTTCGCAGTCTTGAGTTCCGGTTTGGCAGTATTGGCACATATTCCCACGGCCTGCTGCGGCGGCCTTAGATTTACCCGGCTACGAAAGAGCGCCACACGAACAAGCTCAGCAAGTGTCGAATGCGACGGTAAGGGGCCCTCCGCAGCCGTAACTTCCAT